CAAATTTGATATTAGAAAATATTGGCAATTGCTACACAGCCTCTTTGTAAAAATAACATAAACATGTTAAGGAAGATATGTTATGTTTAAAATTCTACACATTATAGTTGGTCATGAATAGTATGAAAATATGGTGACATTTTAAAAACTAGTAGTTTTTTTGTACTTGTCCTGTAATAGAGCACGAAGCTTCCCATACTTCTTTTATTCAAATTAAACAAATTCAGTAAAAAAATCATAGATTTCAATAAATGACTGTGATTAAAATATTTTACTCAAGGATAAACATTGTATATGTTTAATTGTTTATTTCGATTATTTTTTTTATTTTCATTTTGTTTAATGTTGTTATTGCCTTTACAGTTTCTCCTCCTTTACTCTAGGCAAAGGCCTGACTTCTTTGTTTTCGCTTCAGGAGAACATTTAAATATTTTAATGTCGTTGTTTTATTTACCATTCGTTGTAAATTATAAATTTGGCTCGGAATTCAAAACGAAATGACACTATCTTTGTTACAAACATTCAGGAAGTTTTTATAGCAAATGCACGTGCATCGCATGCATGGCGTTATCTGTGCAGACTATTGTTGAGTGATAATGTTCAGAAATAGAACATCAATGATTCTGATCCAGAAACAATACAAATTTAGAAACTTATGCAGATGTGCTCAGAAAATATCTGAATTGTTGACCTATAAAGTTTGTTTTGCAAAGAGCGGGAAAACTTACTGGTATGACAAAGAATTTTAAAGGTAACCAACCATTGTCGACGTCACATAAAAATTTTACTACTCTGTGGAGAAAACGGGCGAGAATAAACATAACACCGTAGTTTAAATTCAAATATGAGTTAATATGAGTATGTATGGGGCGAGGCATCCGTGTCTGTCGGTTCAAGTCCCATCAGGGACATGAACTTATTTTTACGTGAGGATGCTATTCAGCTAGCTTACGCAACGTCGACTGTTCTACTCAGATGTCTTCTAGTGCCTGAAACAATACATTGAGGGACACCTGAGGTTTTCCTCAATCAGTAAAGCTGGAAAGCCGCCAAATAACCTTTAAAGTGTTGGTGCTACTTTACCCTTCCCCGCCTCCTCTTAACTAACATGAGCTTGTTATTTATATTAGAATTTGGCATAATCCTCATCCACTAGCTGACTTTGTATGTTGTCTTGCGGTAAATAACAGTTAATGATTATAAAAAAAGATTATTAAAAAAAAAGGATTTACAAACTTATATTGTTATGGTTATTAAAAGTAAAGGATTATTTTCTCTCCGATACGTAAAGACGTAAATCAATTGACCAAAACCTACTGACTGTCCAAAGTATACAATCCAAAGTAAAACTAAATCTTAGAGCCGTTTTTTGCAACCGTTGACGATTTATTAGGGATGAGCATATTTCTGGCGATCTGACTATTGGAACATTTTTATTTTTTTGAATACCAGCCATTATGTATGAACTACTGCGTCAGTGTCGGTACTTAAAATTACATTTGCATATTGTACACTTATATGCACATGTCTGAATATGAATTTTGATTGTAATCTGAAAGTATAAAAAAAATGAAGCTCATGACATGTTATTAGTCATTCTATCATATTTAAATTTCTTACTCACCGTATAGGTATGTTATAAAGATACAAAACTTAATTAAGTATCATCTGTTAACATAGGCCATCTGGAATAACTTGTACCTTACAGAAAATGACACGCTAAATAGTCCTGAATTTAAAAATGAACTTAAAAATCTCTTAGAAACAATATCATATATCACGACAGACTACCTTTCGTTCCTTGACTTCATTATGTCTTCTTTTTATATCGTTTGTTATTCAAACCAAATGTATACGATAACGCAACGTGTGGTTCTTGATTTCGTTTATGCATCACTATAGGCTATCAGGAAAGACGAAGTCACATCTTCAAAACGTCAGAACGACCGACAATTGTAGCTACATATGGACCAAACGTCGATTTTTCGGTTTTTGCGGGCGTTCGGGGATATAGCAATTGCGACAAATTACCAATTTGTGAAGCCCAGATCAAATGTAAACCTGTTTAATTACCAATTTCCAGTAATTACACTATTATATGTCGTTCTATCGTAGAAACATATTTATATGACAACATGACAGAATGTCAAACCAACAAAATACTAGGAAGTTACGTGCCATAGACTGTACGACATTTGAAGTCCTTTCCTTTCTGATGTGCTTGATAGCTACATAACGATATATAGGCAAAACGTGGCATTTTCTGGTCGACAAAACGATTATAACAATTGCCGTATAGTCGTGATGACATATACGTTATTATCACTGTGTGCCATTGTCTATCGAGACAACACGACAAAACACTTATTTCTCAAATTTCTTACAATTGTCTGATATGTCGTTCTCTGTAATGGTACACGATTAAACGATATAACAGAAATCAGCCATTATATAAACTAAACAGGACATAACATAGAGTTTGTTGGCCATGACGGGAGGCTAGAATTATATTTATGAAGATTTTATGACGGTCTCAATTGCGAAAAAATTACTATAAGATAAAAAAAGCTTTTGACTAAAATAAGGATAAGTATCACATAAAAAAAACGTTAATTTGTTCAGTTTAAAGTATGTTTTTTAAGTATTTTCTTGACCGTCTATTATGTTTACATATCGCCGGAAAGCGAACGTTATCAAAAATACATGTTTTTGTTTTTGTTTTTTGTGTTGTTTTTTTTTCTTGTTTTCTTTGTGTGTGTTTCTTTGTTTTTTGTTGTTGTTTTTTGGTCATATTTTGTGCCACTTTGCCCATTAAGATTAGTTAATTTAATAACATGTTTTGAGGTGTTTGGTCCTTTGTAGATTCCTTTCTCAAATCAAAACGTTTAACTTTTTACCTTTACAAATGGATATTTGTTAAATAGGTCTTGCAATTTCAGTTAATTATTTTTTGTCATAAATAAGAAACTTTATCTGATATAAACATACGCATGATATGTATTAAAATAAATGAATTACATGAACAATTAATTTTAACTTGTTTTGTGAGCAACACTTCGGTAAGTGTGAATGCTTTACGATATTTCATTGACCTAATAAATATATCACCTGACTTAAATAAGCACAGTTTACAAGTTAAATAAGCAATATCTATCCTATTATTTTACAACAATTTAAAAAAAAATGATTGTTAAAAAAACAAATGCCCTTACTATATCTTTTGTATTATATTTCTTTCTTTGGTCACACATTATAATGATTCATTTCATTGTCAAAGCGTAATGTAGAACATATTCTATAATACTTTTTATTGTTTGAAAATAGATCGTGAAAGGAAATGCACAGTATTGTAAAAATTGCACTTGCAGCTGCACGAACACAAAAATATAAACTTTCAGCAAAAGAGCAATTAAGTACAATTACTTCTTTATAATGTGTTAAAAGTGCAAAAGATATCAGGTATCTGTCATTTTAGATTTTAGATGAGAAGTAGAAAAGGAAACCGGAAGTCATGCATTACAATTTAACACATGGCTTCACAGATCGCAAGATCGGAAGTGAAACCTCTCTGATACCAAACAGTTACATAACAATACTTCATCTGTTATACATTGTTAAAGTGTGGTTTATCTGATCCCTGCAATTCACTGAAAGTTATTCTGAAACCATATGTTCTTAAGAATCACGATAATCCATTCACTGAGTTGAATATTAAAAGGAAAGGATTTTACAATGAATTACATAATATTATGTACCTATTTAATTAAAAACTTTTAATAATCATAAACAATTTTAGCAGGTTATTTAGACAAAAGAATATAATGGTTATAGAAAGATTGTACTCAAGGTAAACAAACATAAAAATAATTATATCAAAAACAAAACAGTATAGAGACTAATGATTCAGGTGATTATTCCATGCATAAACTAGTACACATACATAAATTGAAGCAAATATTTAGTTTTGTGAAAAGACAGACACATATTTCCTGTCTAGAATTTTAATGTCTTGTATCAAAAGTATCAAAATCTAACATTATAATTACATAGTATGAAGATTACAGATTACAAAATTATAGTCTGAATAGATGTGTCACATAAACGAGACAAGCATATCGTATCTTTACTCTCGTTACAGTATATAGTACATTGAGGTTGTCATTGTTAACCTTTGAACAAATGAAAACATACATTATTAACTTATCAGTGTCACCAGCCACAACGATAGTTATTATTGTACCATCACGTATGTAACAACAACCTGGCTACAAAATGTCTGGGAGTTTACGTTAGACGAATTTGTTTTAATTTATTAAACTGGATTTCATAAGTTCAATAGGTTGAACATTTGGACAAGTTTCTGCATCATTACCTATGATTTATTAGCGAGCAGATCTCGTGAATATAACTTCTTGATTTCACTTCGGTCAGTTACCATGTTAATGATGTGAACATTTGACCGACATTATTTCTATATTTACAACCATTTAACGATTGAAGCGTGAAATATAATTTAATCTTGTGACTAACTTTACAAAACGATATTACTATTGGTCTGCTGTGTAACTTATTTAAGTTTAGTCCTATTAATTTTATCTATCATAACACAATTAAACTATTTTATTCAATCTATTTTTAATACTAGTGAATTACATACATATAAATTGGAATGGGTATAGGGAAAATATTGTAATGAAGTTTGATATTAAATCACTGATTATGCTTTACAAATAGATTTACTATATCTCACATTCAAAAAGATTTGCCAATTTGATGTACGGTTGTTGTAGTTTAAACGGTTAACTATTCTATATATATCGTTGCTATTACATAGCATGTACCAGTGTACAACAATGTCTGTAATAATATCACATTGAAAAGGTATTTCATCAATCCATCGGAACAGCCTAACATGCATTTTCAACATTGCCTTTCATTGAATAATTCATACAAATTGCATTCAGTGATAAGTCTACGAAATATTTCTAACAGTAACTTACCATTCCATTGCAAAGTCCTACAGCTGCTTTTGTTCCTGGTTGATTTGAAATATCTCCATGAAAATGACAATTCTTCTTGCTATCTTCCAAGAATTTAAAGGTAGAATCTGTCACATTTTTAAAACGATTTCTCATTCTTTCTATTACCAAACTAGGGGCTATTAAATTCTTATTATGTCTTAATCTAAGAATATGGTTTTCATTGTTAATTTTTATATTATAATGGATATTGTCATCCGATTGCACATTGGAATCAACACTGCGCCTGCGCAGTGAATGTCTTGGGTTTATTTCATATGTTAAATGATGTCCTATTTCTGTTACACGAGCTGGCACCACTATATCATATTCTTGTAGCGTTTGCAGGAATTCGTCTGAAAATAAAAAAGACAAATGGTAATAACAAAGTTGATTCCTAAGGTCTGTTTGGTACACACAAACTGTCTGGATAATACAATCAAAATGATATAAATAATTTTAACGGCATCATAAATTGGTATCTTATCTTACAAAAGCACGTCAATATGTATGCGAATTAGTGACTAATGGATAATTTCAAAAAATAGATTTTTTAGGGCATGCATTAGGTTTCAATTTATACAGTACTATTTAAGTACTATTGATACTAAATATGACCAAATGTGATTGTTTGCAAAATACACTGTCAGTAAAAGAATTACTCATATAAAGACTTGAATTTTGTACCTTCTTTTACTTTGTCATAAAGGCAACGATTCTATTACGAAGGAAATTTTTAGGTTTATTGTCAGAGTAAATCAAACTGATATCAAAACTATAAGAAATGAATTTAATATAAAATCATCCAAACCGATGTTAATATAAATACATTCTATTAATTACAGACTACAATGAAAGAAATCAATTATGATTAATTGTTACAATATGATTCCAAGAGCTATAATTTATGCACTATCAAAGCATTTATCCGCAGCGGACTTTTTATTACATTTTTGTATTGAATGCATAACCTGAAATTATTAGAATCTTCCGGAAGATATGATCTTACTAACAAACAAACATTGCATATCTCAAGTACAATGTTTATACTTTGATGAAGGCATTATCATTGTATCATGGTAATTCCTTACTATTATCTATAAAATACACTTAGACACCATCATGATCTGAATCAATAAATAAAGTGCTTTGCAATATCAAAGTAGAAAAAAAAATATCTTCCTGTGAATAATAATACGTTTAAACACTGCAACAAGATAAGTTAACTACAAGAATGATTTCAATAACAGTGTTTGCCTTCGTGCGTTTAACTTCCTATAAATCTAGATATCGGTATGATTTGGAATATTTGTTTGTCGTTTTATTCTATTTCATCTTCGATTTTCTGTCAGCAGATTGCTATTTCTGTCTTCAAGTTTAAAGTATCTTTTTAATAATATCATATCAAAACTTTGACAAATAAATAGCTACAAAAATCATTATTTTTTACATTTGTTCATTATAAAAACTTTATTATATTTGCATATCGAATAGGGAACGTTATAAAAACATATTGATGTTCAGTGATAGTTTAAGTAAATGTGTTCATTAAAAGACACAGATAATTACTATGGTATGATAACATTACATTAAATGTAGAACATTTATTTGAGATAACAGTATACATGTATCACATTACGTGCTGATAACAGTCAGATAACTCAATATGTATGATTCCAGCCATGCACCTCATCTAGGTGCAAAACCCTTCTAAACATCGTTTGAATTCAAACACCAGTAATGTACTTAAATCTCATTAAAATGTAAAATAAATCTAATAGATTTTTGATGGACAAATTAGTATCATGTTTGTATCATAAAATTATGCTATGTCTAGAAATCATTTTTATTTTAATATTAAATATTTTACTTTCCTCTTTAGCAATACAGTTGTGCCAAAAAAAGGAAGAATGCTACTAATTCAAATTGTAAAAAAATGTTTATTTAGGTGTTAAACATTTGATATCCTCGTTTTTTGATACAATTAATAAAACAAATTTCAAAGTATATATTTACTTTCCTTTCGATTAAAGATGTTGGTTAAAGGGTTGTATTACGTAGGTTAGTTTAAAATATCTATAGATATTTCATAAAGATAAATTTAATCTTATGTATGAAAACTTTAAGGCTATCAGCTTCATATCATTTTAATAACAAACATCTTAATCCTTTAACAAAAATATTTAGATATCGTTTACATAAAACCAGAATAAATGTTTGTATTACGACACTTCGACAAATAATTTAATCTTTTTATTAGGACACGATATGAGCTCTATTGCTTAGTTGAAAGTGATAACGACCTTGCTTTGGTGACATCGATTGACCTAAAGTATAATATGTCACGTGAAAATATACTTTTCACATAAGACCAATGTAAAAATATTTTGGTCTTTTTTGTCACGAAAGCGTATGGTATTGTTTTACTCAGATCACTTTCATATGGTACATTTATATGACTGTTGCAATGTTAACCTTCTTGGTTTGATTTAACGTCGCACCAAACACAGTATTATGGCGACTTCTTGCTAATGGTGGAGGAAGATCTCAGGTACGTGTACTTTTTCAGGCACAAACGGCCACCTGGGAAGAACCATAATAGTTGAAAACGATAGCAGAAACGTATTTTAGGATGATAAGCTATATGCTTAAGTTTAAAACAAACGTCTGTTTTGTTCTATTTATTTGTTTTAAAAGACTTATATTTGTATATTCAAGGGATGTTAAGAATGAAAAAATTATCATACTTCTGGAAACAAGAGGGCCATAAAAGGCACTGTATCGCTCACCTGAAAAGCACTTTATGTACAAGATACATAATGCTCAGGTGAGTTAAAATGTATGTTTCTTGGTAGAAAAATAGGTCAACTGAAATCAACGTTCAAATCTGCATCTTAATCAGTTGTTGTAGTTTAAATTTCAATGATGAAGCTCTCAATACAAAACAGAAAGTCAGCCGGTCAATATCCAGGTAAAAATTTAGTCTAAGCACTATTTACCATAAGTAGTTTAAATCAAGGTTAATCAATGTCAAAGTGCAAAACTATATTTGAAAGAGTGTAAAGAGGCCTTATTTTATATTTGTAGCTCTTTAAATGAAAATGAAGGTGACCGGAAAAAATCTTGATCAACTGGCATCAAGGTTCAATTTTACATCTGCAAATGTCCATATAGTTCGTATTTCATATCTGTAGCTATTAAAACAATAAAGTGGGTCAGTGAACCCGCGTCGTGGTAGTCGCTTATTAAAAGTTATACAAGGGCAATAATTTGAAAACAAAATTTCGAAGTGGTCAACTTGACAATGTTTTATGCCAAATATCTTAGCCTGTAAAATTTTAGAAGAATTATTAAGGGTTGGTAAAGACCCACTAGACAATGCTACAAAGCATATACCTTAGCTGTAGCCCTTTTGGTTTTGTAGAAGAAGATTTTTAAAGTATTTTCTTTCGATTACCATGGCAACCAGAGTTCTGCTAGTAAATAAAGACAATGAGTTTGACAAATTAACTTATGACATGGTAATATAAAGTAAACCCCGTTTAAAAACATTTAAGTAATAGCAAATGTTTGCAAAGTATATGCGCGCATTTTGAATATGTATGTTTTTAAGTCTGTCTGGAGATTGTGTCAGCTAGTCATAACTTACGTTTTTCATGTAAAGAATATTAGTAGGACATCTTGACTTGTACAATTTGTTTTATTTAAGGGTCGATGTCTTACAGCTGTTGACATTTTATCTAAACGTTTTCAACACAATCTGGCTAAAATAAAACATTTTTCTAGTGTTTAAAAAAAACAATTTGTAACTCAAATGCAGTACCATTAATACATTCATTTAAGCATATAATGACTACCTTCAGATTATTCATGAAATTCTTTCAAAATTTGTAGCAAAACTGTTTTGAAGACAAAATGTCTAACGTCATATGTTCTTCATCAGGAAATGAATAAAATAAATCAGGAATGATCCTCATAACCAAACAAAAAATGTGGTAAAAATTATTCAGTTTTTAGACATATATTCACCTTGAACATTAAAGTTAACTTATTTTCTCCTTTTTTGCGCTTATATTTATAGCATAAGTTTTGTTATGTTTCTTGTTTACATTCATCACATTGCGTCTATTTATTTTATGATGATATTTATGTTGACAATGCAAGAAGTAAGTATTTTCTCTTTAAAATTTTTAAACAATGTTAAACAAAGATGTAAGGTTTAAGGAAGACAATAATGTTTGTTAATGTTAGACAATCAGCTACAAAACATTTTAGTACAAATGCATAATTATGTTAATGTTGAATGACAAATAAAGTAATTTTCCAACAAAATTTATTTGAATTAGTTGGGTATTATTTTCATTGAAAATATGGGAAATATTCTATCCGCTTCTTAAAATGCTAATATAAAAATGACTGGCGTTTTAACACCAAATTGTTACAATGAATTTTAATTGTATTTTTCATGTTATAAAATTTGTAGACTGGAAAGACTAGAAAGGCTAAAGATTTGAAGATAAGTTCAACATGGTGAGTATAATCTAACTAATCAAATGTCACAATTCATTACGACAACGTCAACTATCTTAAAAGCTCACAATGAACGTGAATATATATTAAACTTGTCAGTGGTTTCTTTTTGTGAGTTTTTGTCGGTTTGAACTATGTCGTGGTTGGACTTGATAAATACCTTTATCATATCTAATACGCTATCAAATTATTGCTGTATCATATATTTCTAAATACTAGGCAATAAAGTTAGGTATACTTTACATATTAAAACGATTTATGTTACATACTTGATACAAAGACAAACAAAATATGTCTTTCAGCGGTACAATCTATATGATCCCCTTCCCTGGTGAGGTCTACATTATCAACTTGAATGTCTGTCACAGGTAAACCAATAACATTGTTAAAACAGTTTTATCAGTCTAATTTGTAAAATGTCCCGGGGTCTGATGATTTATACTGTACTTCAAATTGTTAATAGATTGGTGATAAGGTTTTAAAATGAGGTTAACATTTTCACTTAACTTGTCATTTTGAACTTACAAGAAAAAGTAATGAAGACTGTCAAATAAACAAATAACAAAAAGGTAAAAAATGAATGTTTCGTATCTATAACACTCGACATGTTAATGAATTTGGTAGTATCTAAATAAATAACAAATAATAGAAAATATTGTATTTGCCTTTTCATTTGCTTAAAGATGGTGTTGACAAAAGCCTTGTATATGTTATGCATATATATTAAGTCATTCTTTATCGTTATGTTTATTTAATAAACGACAAATATTTGTTTTATTCTGATAAAGAGTCTGCATAATTATATAATTTTAAGTTGAATCATCTA